GAAAATGGAGAATTCAGTATTATCAAGGGTTTTGCAAGCTGCAAGCATTGTTTCGATACTTACTTTTACAACGATTCTAGCACTACAAATTTGAACAACCAATGTCAATCGAGTCGAGTCGAGTCGAGTCGAGTCGGATTTTTTTGACTCGTTTCGGTCTCTGATACACATCTGATTCAATGAATGGAATACCGAATCATACAGAACATGGTTTATTCGCAGATGACACAGCACCATGGACAGGGTCTAATACAACATCTAGCATTAGGTTCAGACTACCACAATCCATAGATGAATTTCAAAGGTGATGCAAAGCTTGGAAGCTTAAATTACAACCTACCAAAACAGAGTTTATACACTTCAGTCCACATCCAAGAAAGAAATACAAGAATCCAGTATCAATCGAAGTAGAAGACACATCAATTAAACTACTAGATGCAATAAGATACTTGGGTGTTATTATAAATAAAAGATTAAACTGGAGATGTCATCTTCATCATATGGAAAACAAGATAGCTGATAGAATTAGCCTTCTCCGATTCTTATCAAGATCAGCTTCTGAACCAAATGAAAAAATCATGTTAAATATCTACAAAGCACTAATAAGAACAATCATTACATATGGATATCCAGTGCTTCTTACAGCAAACAACAAGACATGGGAACGTCTTCAGATCCTACAAAACAAGGGAATTCGGGCAGCCTTAAACATGCCCTTATACACATCAGTAGAATATATACACAAAATCACAAATATTCAAAAAATTAAGCAATATGCATTAACTCTAATGAACAAAGCTATTATAAGATCAAAGTCCAACAATGACAACATATTCAACATACATCTAACAGATATACTACGCCACATATAGAATCAACCACTTCAACAACAAATATATACATCATCTAATTTCTACACAACCAATTCGAGACATAAGACAATGATCATGCGTCTCTCTATTTCTCTTCAGCCTTAAGTACAGTCTACTGTACTGTTTTTTGTTTTTGTTTCTCAATCATTCATAAAAAAGACTTTGTTTCCAAAAAAAAGAGACACAAAAACAATACAACAGGATTTCTCAAGGTATTCAACTATTTGTATTAGGCAGATCTATTTTCGATTGTTTATGGAACATTTTTATGAACTTTTGATCGCTCCATTTTAGTCATGTTTGAAATAAACTAGATCGAAGCACGGTTTTTTTTATCATGGTCGATCGTATTTTGAAATAATCGTTGTTGTTCGATTATCATTGACGCAATCCACTTTGTGGATGTATTTAGTGTAAAATGACATGCATAGTTACTCACAGCCACTATTTAGATAGTTTTTTTTAAAGAATGTTCGTGAAAGTTATCGTCTTCGAACTTGGTTTTCTTTACTGTCGAACGAATGACTTTCTCTGTGAACACGTTTCTTTTCTATCATTTTGTTCTAACTGGGATATTATATGGCCGACATCAAGGTTTTTGATACATTAATGTATCACAGTCGTCGTATGAACAACACAGAAAGTGTACAAAACTTATTTAATATAAATAGATATGTACAGCAGGCTTATTTGTCAATTGAATGAATGATTAGCAGGATTAAACAACAATATGAAATTAGCAAAAATGAAATAAATCAAGAACGAATAGCAATAAAGCAAATAAAACACTCAAGAGCCAGTCAAATTTTTAAGAAAAAAGAAATCAGATAAAATATTTCGCCCATAGTTTATTTTCTCTGAAGAGCAACTATTGCCTATTATGGATTCATCACTTACTTTAAGTATTTTTGTTAGCATAATAAACGCGAATGAGATTATACTACATCATGCAAAGGAGTAAGAGATTTTTGATTTTGAGGTTTCATATCTGTCTAAAATCTAACAGTGAAATATTTCAAAATGCAAAATATCATCTACTGAAAGGCGACGGCGCAAATATCTAAGCTTCATAGTCTGGCAATTACTAATAACATGGCCCAAAAACCTATAATAATATGTAGTCTACATATCAGGATCTAATATATAGGGTCTAATATTATCCTATTAATTTTAACACACGCATTAACAATTGTGTTTGACAATAATGCAAAAGGTAAAAATTGAAAACCAAAATTCTGTCAGTGAGACGACACATAGTGCATACTTCAAAATCATGGTTTTATTGGTATTTGACACGTTGAATTTTTGTTGTTCCATTTCTTTGAAAACCGATGACTGTCAATATAAAATAAAGAGAAAAATATTAATAGATGAAGTCAAAGTAATTTTAATAAAAAAATGCATCATGTAGTATCACAAAGTTGGAGAAAAACATTGATCACTGGTTTTTATACACAGTGAGGTGGAAGCTAATAGAAACATTGCATTTAATTCCATAAATTATCTTTCAAGTCTATGACAGAGAATACCTCACATTGAGGGTGTGAGTGTCGGTTGTGAGTGAGATCGGAAATATTCTGTTTACTCACACACCCTTATTAGACTAGAAATAGTTATTCTCGATGCTTCACACAACTCTTATTCATTCAGAGTAAATAATCAAATTCGTTTTACCCGGGTACAACTCCTTTGGTATCGGTTCCGGTAAAGGACGATCTTTGAATATTGTAGTTTCATTATTTTTGAACACATTTATTATTGTCTCAGTTTTGTTAGTGTTAACATCAGTCAATTTGCCAATATCAATTCGAATTTGGTCATTCTTAACAACATGAGCTATACCTAGGATAGCACTATAATGTCCATCATCTCCTGCTAATGTCTCATTCCATTTTCGAGTCTTCTCATCAATACAATAATAGCCAGTATGCTGTTTTGTCCGGAATACGGCAGTAGAAAGATCATGAGAGAACGTATTCCATCCATTTTCTCGCGTATAATTCATTGGAAACCGATCGGTTATAAAACCAAATACTATTTTAAATGGCCTTTCATAATAAGTTCTAACTTCACCTAAATAAATTAAAAGCAATTTTACAATCAGTTTAAAGATGAAAACTTCAAATAATATATACCTTTAACATTCAAAGATTTAACTGTAAAAAGCCACGAATCGTTTCGATCATAATAGATTGGTCTATGATAGATTGCATAAACATAATTCGGATAATTACCATGGGAATCCTGAGCAGGACTTCTGATTTGAATTCGATCTAAAGTACTGTTAATAGTCACATTGAATGTTAATTCTGAGGAATCGAATGCTTCTGATTGGTCGATACGTACGTCCCAAGTCTGTCTGTAAAGATAAACATGTTTTAAATAAGCCTTCCACTATTTTTTCGACATAAAAGAGATGAAACAACACGGCTCCAAAAATAATTTATTCTTTAGTTCAGGATTAAGTGAAATATCTGTTTTCTTGATCCACAGAAGATACATTTATGTAACAAAAACCTATTAAACTAAATAATACTTGTCATACGCGAGCCTGATTCTCACTGGATAACAGCCGATCACGCCAAAAAACTGACTGCATAACAACTCAACTGCATATCAGTCTGATAGATTACTAGTTTCATCGAGTATCAATCTCAATATTATCTATGTGATCAGATACTATCATGAATAAACAACAGTCTGCTTAGCTATTCGTTCAACTTGAGCTAGTGCATATCTAAATGATACAAGTACTTGATACTTTACAATCAGCAAGCATTTCATACATAAGAATCAGTGGCGCACCAGAATTTTGATAAGAGAGAAAAGCACTTTTCCATTAGAAGAAGAAGGTCTTAGACGAAAAAAGAATCGTGTTTTGAGACCCGCTTGAAGTCTTATAAAATCGTTTCTCTTTAAGACGAATCTTCGAAGGTGTCAATGACACTCCTGCCATTCCCAACTTCAACTTGGTACTGTTGTTGGATCATGAATGTCTCCAGGAAACAATATCTAGTTCTATTTATACTTTCCACTATCTCTTTTTTATGAGAATTAATGATTTCTTAATTTCATTATACTTTTCTTGGCTGTGCTCTCAGTTTCTTTTTCTATGTATTCGTACCGACATAGATCAACAGGAGTGATTTTATTTATTCAATTACTAAAGATAGTTCACACAAAAATATTCTTTTCAGTATTCTTCATCTAAAAAGATTATTGGCATATCGAATTTCTAAACTCTCGCCATGTCTTTCTGAGATTGTTGCTTTTAGTACTTGTAAATGAATTAAAACTTAATTGTTTATGCTCACCAACTTAGAAAATAATGCTCTAATTTACTGTACACCTAGATCCAATGAGAACAATGAGCTCGTTGATAGTTATTTTTTAACAAGTTGCTCGCGACTTTTTTGTTTACTGTTATTTCTCATTTATTGAGATAGGGTAAGTCTAGCTATTATTAAAAAGAGATCTTAAAAAGAAATAGTAACATATTTGAAAATATTTTTATTATGTTGCGTTGTTTCCTTCATCTAATTTCAAACGACTTCAATGGAAAATACACAAATCGTTTTGTGGCGTATTGAATTAATACCTATGTCATCGAAAATAATCAAAATCCATTGGATAAGAGCATTTCTTCTGCTTAATTTTGTTTGATATCTTAGTGAATAAAAATTTTGTAAACTCCTAGAAAAATGTTACATTGTAGTAGAAACTGCATTGACTAAATAAGGTGAACATGTTAAAGCTGCCTGTGAGAACCATATAATCTATTTTTGCTTAGCTCTCAAGTTGAATCATTAATTACATACGGCGCCACAAAAATGTTTATTAGTTAGAAGAGTTAATCAATAGGAAAGACTTTAGTATCATCGGACATAATATGCTGTGATATATTAGAATTGACATTTTTTGATTGAAATCGATCTTTTCAATCGTGAAAATATTCATTTACTAGAGAAATTATGAAAAAAATGGTAAAATAGGAATAAGCTGGTCGAACCCATCGGTTTTGATGAAAAACTGACGATATCTGTTTGAACTTCAAGATTAAAAAAACAATTATAAAACATTACCGTTTTGGTTTATTCAAACGCCGCACGCATGCTGTTTCGATTCGATACTGTAATGGACAATCGTGCCATTTATTTTGACATTCAATTTTAATATAAATCGATGATGTATTTAAAATCAACGGACGACATAAAACATGTTGTGATTCAGTTGGTAAATGAAAATATTGGACTGCTTTCGACGATGTCGACGGTAGATCGATTGTTGATAGATTATTGTAGACTTCTGCTGAGTCTATGCTGTTTTTAATCAATAATTTCCATAGTGTTCCAGTAGTACTAAGCATGTGATCGAATGTTTGAAATTTCAGATGATCAATTTGAATATGATAGTCTGAATTTTCACATTTTTTTTCGTAAAACAAAGTTGCTCTTTTGTTGAAAATTAATGAATACCAACGTGTTTTTAGTACAATCTTGTTCGTACAATTTTCGCATTCGGATTCTGTATTTATGCTAATAGATCTAGGTATAAAAGTTAGTAGGAGAACGAATAGTAGTAATACAATGTTAGAATTCATTTGTCGCTTTGCCTTGTTGCTCTATAATGAATATCATGAAGTATAAAAGTAGAGGAAGAAGGAGAAAGAATGGAAAAATACTATATTTGTATATCCTAATACAACTCTTTCGGTGGAAGACAACATTTAGTATTTTCATCGAGTAAACTACACAATTCTTCGTTCTGTTCTGTTTACCACCAAGCATCATAAGTGGCACTAATAGAATAATACCATATCGTTTTTCGATATGTATCCTTTTTTGGGCATTTCTCTTTTCCTTCTTTTTTTCTTGCTATTTTCTTATGTCTAGTCACGTCTACGAAACGTACAAATGGGAAAATCAAAATGTGTATGTCGGGATAATGAACTTTTCTCGAACCAATTTTTATATGTTGCATGTATGTTAAGCTACGGAGAAAAACGTATTTCTTTATTTCCGTATTTCTACGTATTTCCAGGGATTTCTGAAATACAGAAATGCTTAAAAATACGTTTTTCCCTCTTTGGATCATTGCCTATACTTTCAATTGATGATTCATCTAGAAATCCACCAAGATATTTCGTATATTGATCTGAATATGATGGCGGATAGAGTTCTGGTGGCAAACTGATCAATTGTAAACATTTGGTTTTTGTAGATAAATATTTCGCAATATGAAAGTATCGTAAAATGATCCTTGAATGTGTGGAAAGGATTGAAATATTATGTAGAACGATTTTATCGTTCTTTTTAAGATATTCATTATCAAACGTAAACTAAAAGCAATATTGTAAGCACCATATTTGAATTCAGTTATCTGTTTTGATAATAGTAACGAATAACTACTCGGTAGGTTGATATGAAAAGGATTCAATTTCACTTCTGCTCTTTGTATCACACATGATACATTTGCTTTCTGACATAAAGCATGAATTCCTAAAATCAAAGAACCACCTATAATTACGTCGAATTGTTCCGACGTTAGCATATATATTGTCTTGGTCATGAGCTCATTTGTAATTTAGGCCATTCTTGGTGTCATATAAAATAAGCTGCCAAATAATGAATGATTTGTAAAATATTCAAGTAGATCTTGTTCTATTTTCTTTTGTTCAACAAGTACATCTGCTGAATCATTGGAAAAAATGAGACGAAATGAAGACATGTTTGGATATGTTGTAAAATTAACATACGAATGAGCAAACGCTTCAGTAATAAATATAACATCATGGTTTTTCATTGCTTTCGCCAACTTAAACATAGAAATAACATGACCAGCCGCACATACAGTTCCTCAATTGGTTGAAATCGACGTTGTTGTGTTAGAGAAAAACAAATGTGAACTTTTCTTATCAAGTCTCTTTCTATTCTGTACTTTAATCTTATGCAAACATGTGGTGTATATGTAGGTTGAATAAAACAGTTCATAAACAACAGTATCGTATCAACAAAGGTAATATGAAACTGTTATATGTTGTTTTGATGTTTGAAAAGCTTGCACTGGTTCAGTACCAGAGCTCCAAGCAGGCCATATGGCCTGCCTGCCTGTCTGTGACAGGCACAGGTCACGATATTTAGGCGGCCTGGCCTGCCTGTCACAGGTCAGGCCGAATGCCGTGTCAGGCCAGGCAGGCCACCTGTCCTGTCTAATTTGCTTTTAATATAAAATTCTAATCTTTTAAATTGCATCATTGATGGAAAAAAGATTGGGATTAATTAATTTTCAATGATGACAGTTTAATATGAGAAATTATATAAGTAT